GAATCTCACCGTCCGAAACTCTGATATAGATGCATACATATCTAGGTTTAGCGAGCTGTCATTGTTGTGCCCTCGCATGATTACGTCAGAAGGAAAGAAAATCGAACGATTCATCTGGGGATTGACCTCCCCGATTCAGTTATGCGGTTATTTTTTTTTTACTTTTCATAAAATTATTACACCTCCAATTGGAGTTAGATTTTTACAAAGTTTATATCCTTGGGATCAAGTTACTTTGTACTTTCCAAATACACTAACCATTATTAATTACGACATGACTCTTTTGTCACTCATTTTTACTTTATTAACGTTTTTCCACTTATAATTCGCAGCATATCTGATCATATTTTCCGCAATATGAAAAACTCTATTGCTTTCATTTGTCTATGCTAAACTCTAGTGACGGTCGTTTGACGAGTAATTTCTTAGTTATCACATGAGGGAACACAGCTTCAGCAGATCGGGATAGGGATGAAAGTGGGTCCAAACACGGACCGGATGGACCCGGACACGGAAAACCCGTAATCGGTTAACGGGATTTTGTAGAACCGGAAACGGGACAGGTATATAGGAACCGGTTCCGGTTCGGTTCCGGGTACGGTACCGAGTAAAGTGGGTCTAGAACCGAAAAACCTGGAAACATCCAAGTGGGTAGGTTGGAACCAGATAAAGTGGTTTTAGAAGCGGAAAACCCAGAAAAACCGCAATTTTTCGGTAATTACTTACTACTTAGTGGGTTGAACTTTGAAAAATTTCATATTTATATCCCGACTTTGGGGGACTATAACTCATTGAATATGACACCAAAACTGACAAAATTATAGTCTAAAATCATGTACAAACTCTTAACTACACTCTGGAAAAAACCTCATGTCAATCCGACTTTAAACGAATGAGATATGCATGTGTTAACATTTTCACAGAATACAAAGTACAAAAACAAATAGCTGAAAAGTTGAAAATTTCCAGTTTTGATATCCCGACTTCAGGGGACTGTAAATCATTGAATATTAAACCAAAAATGACAAAATTATAGTCTAAACTATGTACAAACTCTAAACTACAAGTTGGAAAAAACCACATGCCAGTCCGACTTCAAACAAAATAGATATGCATGTTTTAAAACTTTCACAGAATACATAAAAACTGAAAAACTAAAAACTTTCAACTTTGATATCTCGACTTTGGGGGACTGTGAGTCAATGAATATAAAACTAAAAATGACAAATTTATAGTCTAAAATCATGTACAAACTCTAAACTACACGTTGGAAAAAACCACATGTTAACAGGAGTTGAAACGAATGAGATATGCATCTTTTAATTGTTTCACAAAAACCGGTTCTGACCCTAAAAGTGGTTCCGGTTCCTAACACCGGTTTTGGTTTTTAGACCCGGTTTACCCGGACCCGATGGACCCGGAACCCGGATAAAGCCAATTTTTAAACCCGGAACGGGAACCGGTTCTATATATTCCGGTTCTAACGGTTCCGATTCCTGTCCGATTCTGGTTCCGGTCCGGTTTTCCGGTTCTAAATCTCATCCCTAGATCGGGATGGAGGTTTGTGTGTGTGCGTCGACGAGAAGAAAGGAGTGGAAGCATGATTTTGAGAAAAAAATAAAGGAAGAGTGAGAATTAAGGTAGTAACGTCTTTTTTTTTTCGGAGATGGATTTTTTAAGAGTCATTTAACAAATTCAGATGTATATTATAAGAGGGTTAAACAAGCCATATTTGAATTTTTAACGAGATTACCTACTAGTTTTTCAATTAAGAGATAAGCAAACAGGGCCTAAAACTTCCACCTATTTCATCTAGTAAGCTATTGTTTGGATATTTCCTTTGAAAGTTATACATTTTAACATATTTCTTAAGTTTGGTAATTAAAAAATTAACAAGCCGATTAAGACATATGAGTAGTTGAACTAAATACCATGAACACATATAAATGTTTTCTAGGATTTTAGCTTTAGAAAACTTGTTGGTGGAATGTAGGGTGTGAATAGAGACAACAATCCAGTTAGGGCTTATCATCGATTGTGACGTCAGTTTTTCATATGTTGTTACTCGCACTAGAATGTCTATCATTCAAATGTGGTTTATCTAGGGTTATAGCTATTTAATTATCGAATTATGTTTTATGATAAATATAGTTGCATGTGTTTTTGAGTCGGTTTATCTTCTATGTGACTTTTAGACATGATACATTTAGTGGCAACCAATGACATGCTTAATAGTCATGAGCATGACAATGTGTGTGATAGGCAAAGATAGGAATTGAGAATTATATTCACTTTTTTGGATATTTAAATCACTTAAGCACAATAGATGGATTGTAGCAAAGGGGAAAGGAAACAAGCCTTTGATTCTTTCTCTAAGAATATAGGGAAATGGTCAATTATTTTCTGATTTACCAAAATGACCAACACATATGCAAAATTGTGTTTGAGATTAAGTTAATTTTGTTTCATTGTAACTTTTTGTCCAAAAAAACATTTCCAACAAAAAAAAACTAAAAAAAATGAATTTTAAAGAAAAGTCCAAAAGCCGATGATCAATTGGGAAATTTAAAAATGTTTTATGTTCATTGAAATCAAACATAAAATTAAAAAAATTATATTAAAAGGAAAGTAAATTATGATATAAGGACGTACAAATGAGTCATTTAGTTGAAACCAGTAGCAATTAACATTTAAAATTCAAGGGGTAGAGAATATTTTTATATGTATTTGGTGTAAATGATAGAAAAATGCATATTGAATAGGTGTTTATTTTGTAAAATAGATCAAATTTGGCCATTTTCATTAATTGTCTAGAATCATAAAGTATTTTTATCATTATCCATAAAATTTAGCTATTTATACCTACATGCCACAAGAAACACACAAACTACTTCCCATAACTGAAAAATATGACAAACTTATTGGTGCCATTCTCTGACTCCCATGGTGGAAACCGAAAAAATCTGCGGAAAATACCATTTTCCAACGTGGTGATCACAAGAACTAGGAACTATTTTTTGGGTCGAAAATGGCAAGCGGTAGACATCCAAGTGGCATCATGGTTCATTTTTGTTCATTTACTTGCCCTTTTTGCACCTTTTACATTTACTTGGGATGCTTTTTGGATCGCATTTGTTGGTTACTTGGTCACGGGAATGCTAGGCATGACCCTCTCTTACCACCGACTTTTGTCCCACCATAGTCTCAAACTTCCCAAATTGCTCGAGTACATATTTGTTTACTTTGGGGTCCTAGCCTTGCAGGTTTGTATTTGGCTTTATCATCATCATAATCTAATTTTTCTCAGATTGACGTCTTGTTCCGGAGTTTTTTTGTAAATTCATTTATGGGAAGGGAAGTAAAATTTTGACAGAAAGAAAGAGAGGTGAAGGAAAATATTTACTATTCCGTGTTCCAGAATTCGAAGGAAATGAGAGGAAATGAAAGGAAAATTTTAAGTTTTTGTGTTCCCGAGTTAGGAGGAAAAAGAAAATAAAACTTAAAATTTTTCTTCCCCTCACTTTCTTCCCAAATCCCCCCAATTTGGGAGGAAAATTTAAAAGGAAAATATGGCTCCAAAATCCTTTCCTTGCCCTCACTTTCCTTCCATTAATGAAACTCGGAAACATGATTTTCCTTCGACGCCCACCAATTTCCCTACGTATCCTTTTAGTTCTCTCCTTAAATATATCTCGGGAACAAGGCGTAAAAGTTTGTCTAGTAAGACGTAATGTAAATAAACAAAGATAATGAAGGAGTTTATATATGTGATCATTTTGGATAGTATATATGAATGTAATTAACATTATATAATTTTATCTGTATTGCATATAAATATAATATATAGTTTTAGTTCTACACTATACACAATATGTTAGAATACCTAACTAATCAATTTTAGAATACCTAACTAATCAATTAAATTAAAAGAATAATAATTATGAACAATAAAATAATTTACTCAAATTTATATAAGATTACAATCACAAACATATTTTATATTTATTTAGAAAATAAAAATAAAAATAAATCGACTCATGAACTTTAAAAATAAAGTGTTGTGTCATTAATAGTTATATAACATAAAAATAAGTCATGTTACAATTTTTCATTATATTCTAGGATTGTATGAGAAAAAAAATATCTATTCGGTTGTATTAGAAAAACCAAACAACATTTTACATTTCATTACAATGAATCATATTATTTTTATTCTGATTCCATCATACTAAACAATACATATGTTATCTTTTTTATATGCAGGGAGATCCAATATTTTGGGTGAGCATCCATAGATACCATCACAAATTCGTGGATTCGGATAATGATACACACTCGCCCATTAACGGGTTATGGTTTAGTTATGCGGGTTGGTTTTTTGACAATGAATACCTGGTTGAAAAGGTATCATGATATCCTTTTTATTATTAATTAATTGTGAGATTCATATATATATA